GTCAGGCTTTATTTGTACACGGGAGACTCAAAATCAGAAAACGTCAGTTCTCCCTTAATTACTGTTATATAGATAGATCATTTGCAATTCCAGTGAAAATCCTGTGTGTGTGTGTGTATGTGTGTGTATTGTATTTGAAGACATTCCTCAAAGAGGAGGAAGAAGAGAAAACAGAAGGAGATACTTACACTACCACATGCCAAGGTTACTATTTGTTGTTGTTAAAACCAAACCAAACCAAACTCACTGCCATTGAGTAGATTCTAACTCATAGCAGCCCCCATTCGGTTTCCGAGGCAGTAAATCTTTACAAAAGTAGATTGCCCAGTCTCCTTCCGAGGAGTGGCTGGGGGGTTTGAACCGCCATCCTTCTGATTAGCAGTCAAATGCCTTAGGCACTACACCACCAGAGCTCCTCAGTTACCCCCAAGTCACCTCTGGCAACCCCATGTACAACAGAGTGAAACATCGCTCAGTCCTTCATCATCTTCCAAATCATTGGTATGTTTAAGGCCATTATTGAGTGCCTTCCAACCTAGTTGTTGTTGTTGTTATTTGCCATAGAGTCGGCCCCGACTCATAGCGACCCCTCCTTGGGTTTCTGAGGCAGTTATCATTACGGAAGTAGGATTGCGCAACCTTCCTTCCAACCTAGGGAGCTCCATTTTCAGCACTATATTGGACAGTATTCTAAGATAACTGTAAATCTCTAGTAATTAAGCTGCTATGATTTTGATGCAGGTACAGACAAATTGACCAAAAAATCCAGACAGAAAACACAGAAACAGGCCCATATCTACACAGAAACCAGATATATGACTAAGGTGGTCTTGTACATCATAAGAAAAGGGGAAGAGATTTTCAACAAAGAGTGTCAAGACAATTGGTCATCAGCCTAGGAAAAAGTAAAAATTAGATTCCTACCTCACACCTCACATAAACATCAATTCCAGATGGAGTAAAAATTTAAATGTCAAAGACAAACTTCAAAAATTTTAGAAGAAAATGCTTTCTGATTTTAGGGTGAGCAAGGATATGTTCAATAAGACACAAAAATCGTTACATTGAATTATGTTAGAATTAAGACATTGTGTTCACTGGAAAACACTAGTTTTTAAAAAGTGAAAAGACAGGCCACCAATTAAGGGAAGAAATATACAATACTGAAATGACAAAGGGAGCTCTGGTAGCATAGTGGCTAAGGTACTTGACTGCTAACCAGAAGGGTGGTGGTTCAAACTCACCAGCCACTCCTTGGAAGGAAGATGAGGCAATCTACTTCTGTAGTGATACTGCCTTGGAAACCCAAGGAGGGGTCGCTATGAGTCGGATCTGACTCTGACTCAACGGCATACAACAACAACACAACAAAACGACAAAGCTTTATATCCAGAATAAGAAATTAATGATAATAAGAAAAAGACAATACATTTCAGAAACAGACAAAGACATATCAGTGATGAAGAAACAGGAATAGCAAACAATCAGAAAGAAGTTCTACCCCATAGCTAAATAATCAAAACAAAACCATATTTTCCATCCTTTAGTTTGGCAAAAATTAAGCAGTCTTACAATACCAAGTATTGATAAGGATGCCTATTGGCACAGAATAGTTCAGCATTCCACTGCTACCTGAAAGGAATGGTTTGAACCTCCCCAGAGGTTCCCTGGAAGAAAAGGTCTGATGATGATCTGCTTCTGTTAGGATTACAGCCAAGAAAGCCCTGTGGAGCACAATTGTGCTCTGACACACACAGTGTGACCCTGAGTTGGAATCAACTCCACAGCAAATGGTTTTTCGTTTGTTTGTTTAGAGTGATGTAAACAGTAATTAATACACAGCTGGTAGGAAGTTAAAATGGGGACGACCACTTTGGAAAACAGTTTGAAATTAGCTTGTAAAGTTGACAATTTGCATGCTATACAACCCAATAATTTCACTTCGAGGCATACCTCCAGAACAGAATATTCCAAACCGCAGAGAATGGCCCATTAATGAGCCTAACCATCATTTTTTAAAAAGCAAACAGTAAAGTAGAAAATATCAGAGTGAATCATCCACGGTAAGAGTAAGTATTGATTTGTGGTATTGTTTTTGGTGTACATGGATATGTATTTGTACTGGGCTGCATTGTAAAAGTATTCCCTGTAAGTGTAGTAGGCAAAAGAGCTGAAAAATAGTGCTCTAGGAATGCTTGCACATGTACCCCAGCAACAGGTACAAAAATGCCTGTAACTATATTATTCACAGAAACAAAAAACCAGAAAAAACTCCAGTGTCCATTGACAGGAGAATGGCCCAATACGCGATCATTTATCAGCACCGTGGAATAGTCCACAACATTGAATATAGTGAACTAGGGTTATATGTCACAATATGGATGAATTTTAGAAACCTAAAATTTGCCTGTACCTAGGGTACAGGCAAAGGAATCACATTCCAGAAGGCTGTAAATAGTATAATATCCTAATTATTTTAAAAAGCTACATTAAACAATATATTATTTATTTATTCATATCCAGGTGATAAATATATTTTTAAAAGACACTGTTATTCAGATGTAAAAAAAGAATGAAGTACTGCTACATGCTACAACTTTGGCTGTGTCAAAAGTTGGATGAACTTTGAAAGCATAATGCTAAGGGAAAGCCAGACACAAAAGGCTGTATACTCCGTGATTCCATCTATATGAAATGTCCAGAATTGGCAAATTACAGGGCCAGAAAGTAGATTACTGGTTGTCAGGGACTGGAGGGAGGGGGAAGTGGGTTGGAGAAGCTACTGTTAATGGGTAAGGAACTGCTTCTTTGGGTGATGAAAATGTTCTGTAAACTGCTGATGGACACAGTTCCCTGGGTGGTGCAATTGCACTTGACTACCAGCCTAGAGATTGGTGGTTTGAACCCACCCAATGGCACCATGGAAGAAAAGCCTAGCAATCTGGTTCTAGAACGATTATAGCCAAGAAAACCTTATGGCACAGTCCTACTCCGTAACACATGAGGTCCCTGTGAGTTAGAACCAGCTCTACAACAGCAAGTTTGGTTTTTGGCTTTGGATGGAAGCATGACCTTGTGGATACACAAAAAAAAAAAAAAAAAACCCACTGGATTGTACACTTTACAGTGGTGAACTGCATTGTATGCGAAATATGTCAATTTTAAATCATTTTAAAGAAATGCAAGGGAATGATTACAGATAGATATTTTCATAACACTGGTTACCCACCAGCCCCTCCTCGGAAGGAAGGTTGGGCGATCTACCTCTGTAGAGATACAGCCTTGGAAACCCAAGGAGGGGTCACTGAGTCGGACTTGACAGCAGTGAAAGTGGTTACCTCTGGGAGGGAAGGAGAGGGGTGGATTGGAGAAAAATAATCAGTAAATGCAGGAGTATTTGTAAAGTTTTAGTTCTTAAAGTTAGATGTTTATGGGTACTTCTCTTATTACTATGCTTCATTATGTGTGTATGTTACATGTATTTGTATACATATAAAATCTAATGCAACATTTTAAAGGAATAAAAATATTAAATAGCCTTAAAAGCAAATTACTTTAGGCTTTTTGATAAATGCATTTTGAATTGCTCCTTGGAGCAGGAGGTTTGTGCCTCTGCCTGGCTCTAGACATGCTTCTTCTGACCTCTGGTGGCTGAGTGGTGCAGGGCAGCAGTTGCTGCTAACTCCAGACACCCCTAGGCCCTGTGGAATGAATATGGCTGACTCCTCAGCATGCCTTGCATGGTCTGACCACTAGACATCTGTTCAGGGGTTCAGGCCACTGCCAGTCCCACCCTACTTGGAAAACACCACAGGGTCTGGGGTGTTCCTGGTTTGATATTTTTTCCTTTTTCCTCTCTGGCCCTTTACTACACTTACCTAATCCCTGCAGGGAGGAGTGTGTAACTCCCCCAAAATCTGTCCCTCGAAGGGACCAACTGTTCCTGCCTCTGCCTTCACCAAGATGTCCCACCCTTGGACACCACCCCCCACCCCAGACCAGAGACTTGAGCTCATGAGCAGAGCTCAGGTATCTTCTGAGGAAGGAGTGCCAGGCACTGAAACTCAGAGAACCGGTCTCCAAGCGCCCTTTGTTTAATCAGCCCCTCTCCCACAGGCTAGTGGAGGATTATGGAAGTTAACCTGGGCACTGCAGAGGTGAGAGTGTGAGGGGAAATTAATGAAAAGTGGTCAGTGTTTCAGGGTTTACTATAAGAGTACAGTAAACAGCAAGTCTCTCTCTTTAACTGGCTGGCTGGATTAGAAAGCTATTGATTTACCTGCGCCCTTCCCCTCCTTTCCCTGCATCTCTGGTAGCATAGTGGCTAAGGCACTTGACTGCTCACCAGAAGGCTGGCGGTTCAAACCCACCAGCCACTCCTCAGAAGGAAGGTTGGGCAATCCTACTTCCGTAGTGATACTGCCTCGGAAACCCAAGGAGGGGTCGCTATGAGTCGGGGCCGACTTGACAGCAAATAACAACAACAACAACAACAATCTAGACAAAAAGATGAGTTTCTGACAGTGCATGTTGGCTGTGGAAACCAGGCCAGAAAGTCCCAGACATCTTAATGAACTAGGGCTGGCCACAGAGGGTGGTCTGGAGAGAAGGGCCCAGATAAGATCATCCCCAAAGCCCTTATGGCTTTGGCACCGACAGGCAGTGTAACAGGAGTTACTGAGCTGGGTTAGGACCTAGACTCTGCTACTCACTCTCCTGGATATCACGTAACCTCTTTCAGCTTTAACTTCTTTACCTGCAAAATGGAGTTAGTAACAGTGCCTATTCATTGTTTTAATTCATGTATATTAGTTGAATTAATGCATGCAGAGTAGTCTGTGAGGGTTTGAAAAACGCCAGCTGCTTCTGCTGGTGGTGGTTTGAACTCTCGCATAGTGAGCAGAGGTGAGGATTCCATTCCACCCCAGTTAGGCTGGTGTTTGGGGTAGGGATGGAGTCTCCTATCCAGAGCATCTTTCCTCCCTCTGCCCCCAGACGCCATGGAGCTGGTGCTGATCTTTCTTTGCAGCCTGCTGGCTCCTGCAGTCCTCGCCAGTGGTAAGTACCTCTCTAGGATCTAGCAAGGGCAAGATGCAGCTGCAGCCCATCTTAGTCGAAGGTTCTGGCCTTTTGAGACATTGAGGGTTGGGGGGCTCACTTTTGGCTTGAGCCTTGGGAGTCAAACCTGTACATCAGTCCCAGGACCATAATTAAGGAACTCTGGCCTGATGTAAAGGAGCTCTGGGGCGCAGTGCCTAAGGCATTTTACTGCTAACCAGAAGGTTGGTGGTTCAAACCCACCAGCCACTCCACAGAAGGAAGACTAGGTAATCTACTTCCGTAAAAATTTACCACCTCAGCATCCCAGTGGGGGTCGCTATGAGTCAGAATCAACTCAAATGCAGTGGGGTTGTTTTTTGTTGTTGTTTTTTCTTTTGGCCTGACGCAAATTCCTTGTCTTTCCTTGGCCTATGTTTCCTTGTCTATGTCGTTGTTGCTGTTGTTATATGTCGTCGAGTCAGACCTGACTCATAGCAACCCCTCCTTGGGTTTCCGAGGCAGTATCACTACAGAAGTAGATTGCCCCATCTTCCTTCTGAGGAGTGGCTGGTGGGTTTGAACCGCCAGCCTTCTGGTTAGCAGTCAAGTGCCTTAGGCACTACGCTACCAGAGCTCCCTTCCTTGTCTATAACAAGAGCATAATAGACCCTGCCTTTGGGGAATGATATGACAATAAAAGAGGCATGTGCTCTGATTTGCTGTGAAAGTAGAATTTCAGCTGGGGCTCTGAGCTGTACCTGCCCTCAGTTTCCGGGTGGGCCCTCCTTCCCAGGAATCCCTGCATGGGGAGTGGATCTGTGAAGCAGGTAAGGGTGTTGGAGACTGAGATGTGTGGCTGTCCTCCTCTTACCACATTTGTTTATTGTTTGCAGCAGCTGAGCAGGAGAAAGATGAGGACCCTTTTCATTATGGTGAGCAGTGAAGTCACCCCTGGGTGCAGGAGAGGCAAGGGTGAGAGTGGATGTGGGGAGGTATATTCTGTCCAAGGGAGGGATGGACATGCTGCTCTTTGGCACTTCTCTTTTTCCATCTCTCATCTTTGCTTCCTTTGACAGACTATCAGACCCTGAGGATCGGGGGCCTGGTGTTTGCTGTGGTCCTGTTCTCGGTGGGAATCCTCCTTATCCTAAGTAAGTGTGTCTGTTGCTTTGCTCGCTCTGTGATAACTGAGGCTACTAAGCAGGTAAGAGCCATTCTCTCTGCTGGAGAGGAAAGAGACTGTTCTCCATGGAATCTTCAGGACTTCACACATAGTAAATGTTCAGTAAAACACTGAAACATGAGTAAAATAAATGCTGGGTGAAGAGAAGCCTGGATAAGAAGAAGGAGCAGGATAAGCCCTCCTGCTGCTGTATCCAGCAGGGCATGAATGGGGAGTTGCAGGAGATGGGTGCTAGATACTGCCTTTGGAGGCCCCGAGTTGGTTTCCCCACATGAGCCTGGTCTGCACAGAGCTCTTGGCACTTTCACAATCAAGCAGCCTGATCGTGTTGAATGTACCACTTTGGCTTCCTAAGGCCTCTACTTTAACCTAGAGTTGACGTATAGAACTAAGCAGGCTGTGTCCTGCCCAGTTCCAGGGGCCCTATTTCCATAGTCACATGACTGCACAGACTCAGGGCAAGCCAGGAGCCTGACTCTGCCTGGTTTCTTTGCTTTTCAGGTCGGAGGTGCAAGTGCAGTTTCAATCAGAAGCCCCGGTAAGGCTGCCATGGCTGTGGACCTCTGGGGTGACACTAGGAGGAGACATAGAGTTGTGTGGCCCAAATGAATATCCTCTTAGATTTTTGTCTCAACAAGAGGGTATGTGTTGTAGGCAGTAAGGGTAGAAATTTGAGGACTTCCAGGTAGATTTGGGGCAAAGAAAAGGTCAAAACATGGAGAGTTAGCCCATCCCTATCTCTCCTAATGGAGATGGGTGGGCAAGAAGGCACTGGAACTTTGTCTGGAATCCTTTGAGATAGTTGGCTATGGAAACAGAGAAGCAGAGGGCTGTGTGGCCTTTCTTGATATCCATCTCCTTTACAGGACTAGGACACTGTCCCTGCTTGTCACCTGTTCGTTAGGCAATTTTGGGCTGAGTTGAAACTTGGACTCCCTGTCATTTATCCCTCCCCCACATACGTAATGGCACAACCGACCCCCATGTGCCCTAGGCCACCCCTTCCCAATACTCATTTCTCTTGGGGACTGACATGGCAGGTTGCCTGTGAGTTCCTGTTGACTCTGTCCCCTTCAGCCCCATCCTTCCTCATTCCATGTGTCCATGGTTGAGCATGCTCCAGCCCCTGGGGTGAGCTGTGGAGATTGATCACAGTGGCCCTGTGCCAGTAAGAGCTTTCCTTGGGGACTTCTCATGGCACTATGTGTCTCTTCTTCTCACAGGGCTCCAGGAGATGAGGAGGCCCAGGTGGAGAACCTCATCACTGCAAACGGTAACTCCCCACAGCCCATGCCATTCACAAAGAAGACTGAGGGAGTGGGAGAGGGGCCTTACATGGCAGGGCAACAGAACTGACATGTTCCCACAGTGCCAGGTCCCCAGGGCCTCAGTGCATGGCCACTCTGAAACTCCTGGTGACAGCCAGCATCAGTAAATGCATCAGGCACTGTGCAAAGTGCATTGCAGACCACATCACATTGTGCCTGCACCTAGCCCCCTAAGGTGGGAGTCACTTTCCACCTTCTACAGCCGAGGAATTGGGCCCTCCACACAAACAAGTGGGCAGAGTAATAGGGTGTCATCTTTGCTGCCACATAGGCATGACTTGGGAGCTGAGGAACTCAGTTCCTGTCGCCCGCAGTGGGGGTAAGGGTTTGCCCCCAGGCCTGTCTGACTCTGAATCCCTTGGCTCCCCCAGAGTCAGGCACTGGCAATGCTGCCTTGGGGGTGGCCCACTGTGGTCAGACCTCCTAGAGTAGATTCCCTAAGTAAGGTCAGACTCCCCAGCATCAGGCATTAGCACAGGTGCTGTGGGGATAGCCCACTGTGGTCAGACTCCTCCATTGTCAGGCACTGGCACAGTTACTATGGGATAGCTCACTGAGATAGGGGTCCATTTTCTACAGTCTTCCCTGATTTTCTTTCTAGCAACGGAGCCTCAGAAAGCAGAGAACTGAAGTGTAGCCCTCAGATGGGAAGGTAGGATACCCTCTTCCTGGATCTTCCCTTGTCACCATCACTGTCTTCAGCAAGGTCTGGGCTATGTGTGCTGGGGGAGGCCCTGTCTGAAGAGCCTTATGTCTAAAGGGGGTGATGAGATAGCCCAGGACCAGACATGCCCCAGGTGTCCCATACATACGCACAGCACACAGCCAAGGAATTGGGCCTTCCACACAAACCAGTGGACAAAGTGATAGGATGTCATCCTCGCTGACACGTAAGCGTGACTTGGGAGCAAATTAGAGTTTATGAAACACTCCTAGTAGCAATACCACAAAGGTAATGGCTTTCAGTGATGATTCAGAAAGTACTTTAGGATCACTTTTTTAAAAAACATTTTATTATGAAATGTTCTAAACCTACACAAAAGCTAGGAGAATAATATAATGACCCCCCCCCATACCAGTATTATCAGTTATCAACATTTAGTGTCCCTGATTTAGTACCTATGCCTATTGTTGATTGCAGAGGGTATAGGAGTGAAGAAACTGTTGAATGCCTTGCTGTTGTTAGGTCCTGTTGAGTCAATTTTCAGCTCATAACGATTCAGTCTGACAGAGTAGAAGTGTTCCATAGGGTTTCCTAGGCTGTAATCTTAACAAGAGTAGATCTCCAGATCTTTCTCCCACGAAGCCCTGTGTAGGTTCAAACCGCCAACCTTTTGCTTAGCAGCCAAATGCTTAACCTTGCCCCATTCAATCGAGCCTTCCAGGAACTTAAAGAAGTAGGACAGGTGAGGTTTATCCCCATTTTATAGATGAGGAGACTGAGTTCAGAGGATGTGTAGCTATAGACAGGAGGTGACAGGCGGGAACTTGAGTTCAGGCATGTTGGTGGTAGTAGTTCCACGTCCCTGATCCTGTCTGCCTAACTTTCTGACACAGTCTGGAATGTAACCACTATGTGCTGCCTGGTCACTTCTGACTCATGGCAGTCCATGGGTGTCGGAGTAGAACTGGGCTCATTTTCCAGAAGTAGATCACCAGGCCTTTTCTTCCAAGGCACCTCTGGGTATTCTCCAACATCCTGCTTTTTGGTTAACAGCCAAGTGCATCAGCTGTTTACGCCACCCTGGAATATACGGGGGCTGGAGGATCAGTCTTCTATCAGCTCATTTCTGCCTCTTTTTTTGTGGCAGAAAATAAGGTATAATACACAAATACATAACTTGATCCTAAAGAGTAAATTAAGAGATTCCTCGAAGATAAAATGTCTAATACACCAGTTTTTACTGTGATTATAATAATCTGATGTATGCATGTAGCACTGTAATTATTTTCTGATGTGCCTTTATATCCTCCTAACAGCCAGGGGTGGGCAGAGCAGGGCTCATTATATCCATCTTCTAAGTGGGGCTTAGGATGAGTGATTTGTCTAAGCTTGAGATGATAGTAGAACCGGGTCAAGGATGCAGGTAATAATTGCCTTTGGTAGCTTGATGCTGTGTCCACAGCTGGCAGGTTAGACTGCGACTCTGTGGGACTGGGCTATTAAGTCTCCTCAAGGAGGGGAGCCTTGAGCTAGGAAGCTGTTGTTGTTGTCATTGTCATGGGCTGTCGAGGCAGACCTGACTCATAGTGACCACTCCTTGGGTTTCTGAGGCAGTATCACTATGGAAGTAGATTGCCCAACCTCCCTTCCGAGGAGTGGCTGGTGGGTGTGAACTGCCAGCCTTCTGTTTAGCAGTCAAGTAAGTGCCTTAGGCACTACACTAGAGTTGCTTTTCCTTTTAAAAAAAACCTAGTGCCCCCTAACAACAAAAACAGTGCCCCCTAGAGGGCAGTGGTAGTTCAGTGGTAGAATTCTTGCCTTGCATGTGGGAGAGACGGGTTCTCTTCCCAGCAAGTATACTTCATGCACCACTTGCCAGTTGGTGGGGGCTTGTGTGTTGCTCTGATGCTGACCAGGTCTCAGTGGGGCTTCCAGACTAAGACAGACTAGGAAGAAAGGCCTGGTGATCTACTTCCAAAAATCAGCCAGTGACAGCCCTGTGAGTCACAATGATGCAGTCTCGTGCATAGAGTCTTCCCAGAATCAGGGCCTGACTCGACAACAGCTCATAACAACAGGGCTTCCTCAGAAACCCCTTTCTCCTAAGTCTATAAGATTGTGGGCAAATATTGGGGTTCCCTCAAATAGAAATCTCAAGTTTCATGTTTTCCTTTCCATGTCTACCAGGTTCCAGCCCACCTGGAAAAGCCCTTCCCCTGAGACCCACCATGCTCCTATGCCTTCATCTCCTTGTCCTACAAACTCACAAGCCATTCCTTTCCCTTTGCTTCATGGGGAGCAGGGGGCTTAGAATGGGAGTCCTCCTAGGAGTTTCATTAGGCAAAGGGGCTGTATTAAAAGTGGGGAGGGAAGTAGGTAAGCGTTCCTTACAGGAGCTAAAGTTTTGCTTTTTAATTTAAATCATCTCCCTCTTCAGCCTCCAGTACCTGTTGATATTTAAGAAAACCGGCCACTTCAGCAACAGATTTCCCCAGGAGAAGCCAAGAACTTGTGTGTCCCCCTGTGCCCCCCATAACCTCTAACACCAATCCTCAGTGTAATGACACAACTGATACTTGCCTCCCCCCTCAGCCTGCAGTCTTGTCCCACTCCTGTGACGTGTCTCTGTGTGTGTGTGTGTGTGTGTTTGATGACTGTGGTCGTCGTGGCTACCTGTCTGTGGATGATGTTGTGTTAGTGAACCGTGGACTCACTTTCCTGGACAGGAGCTGGGCTGCTGCCAGCTCCTCCCTGTTCCCCTATGGGCTGCCATCACCTCCCCCTCCAAGAAGCCTGCTTTTTCCCTTAGAGACCAGTCCCTTCTCTTGTTTTAGGGATGGGTGTGGGGTTAGGAAGGAGCCCTGGTGGTGTAATGGTTAAAGCACTCAGCTGCTACCAAAAGGTCAACGATTAGAACCCACCAGCTGCTTCATGGGAGCAAGAGGTGACGGTCTGCTTCCTTAAAGATTTACAACCTTGAAAGCACTATGGGGCAGTTCTACTCTGTTCTATAGGGTTGCTGTGAGTCAGAGTAGACTCCACCTCAATGCGTTTGGATTTTTTGGGTAAAAGTAGGAGCAAGGGGCAGGGAGTCTCTAAAGTCTTGGGATTTGGGAAGGCCTATATCCCTTTCATCATCATTCTTCATGGTCCGTCTTCACTCCTCTTACAAGAACCTGCTTCCATATTCCACTCATGACCCAAGTCTGTTCTGGGGGTCTTAAAGCAATTGGAGATTCAAAGCAAGGAGTTGGTGAGCCCCACTTTGCCCTCTGGCAGGCTGCCCCTTCCATGTTCATTTTACATCACTGAGTCCCCATCAATCCGGCCCCGTCCCAGAGGGGCCAGGAATTCCAATTCCAGGCTCAGGGCTTCCACTCTGCCCCTGGGGAATGTGCCCCTGGCATATCTTCTCAGCAATAACCCCGTGGACCTTGGAACCCAACCCCACTCTCCAACTTTCCCTGTTTCCAAGACTCTAATCGAAAGCCCAGCTCATCTAGACTTAGACTCCCAACACTGAAGCTGGGTCATTTGGCAGGCGACGACAGAGGGGTCTCATTCTCTGTGGAGCCAGAAGTCTGGGGATGGGCAGCAGGGCAAGCACTGGGGTCCTTTGCTTCTCTGTTCATGCCCCATGGGTCCAGCAGCCATGGCAGCTCCTGCACCTATTGCCCCATCTGTCAGTGGGCAGCGCAGTGAGGGTGGCGGGTGGCGGTCAGAGGCTGTGCAGGGCTCCATGCCAGAGGCTGAAAGTTGTGAAGAGAGTGGAAAGTCAAATCGGATCCCACCCCTAGTGTGCGTCATGTTCTTGTGGAAACCAACTAAACCGTGCCGCTGTGACCAGGACTGCTGTCCTCTGTATTGTGATCTGTCCTCTCAAAAAAAGGAATAAAATATAATTTCTTTCCTACTGGCTCCAAGCTGTTCTTACTGTAAAAGGGCTTAGGTATTTGTTGGACTTCTGGCACTTAAAGGCCCAAAGGAACTCTGTCCTTGGTCAAAGGGAGGGTGTGGAGACTGCAGTGCCAGCCATACTGGGTAAGTTGCTAAGTCTGTTTATTTCAAGCTGTTTTACAATTTTCTCTTGCTTCTCTTCTCCCCTCCCACCCGTGCCCTCTTCCACCCTTCCCCTTTTCCTCCTCTCCCCTTGTCTTCCCCTTCACTTTCTCTCCCTCTCTCCCCTTACTTCTTCACCTTCTGCCCCACTCACCCTCTCCCCCACTTGCCCCCTCCTCTTCCTCTTCTTCCCCCCTTTCTTCTTCCTCCCTTCCCTCATCTCTTCCTACTCCCCTGTTCTCTGGGCCCAGGCTCCATCCTATACATTTTGCATCATCTTGTAGAGGAGAAAGGGGTCACAGTGGTTTGATCATGTGGAAACTGTACACTGGACTGAAATAGCAGGATCTAATGTTTCTCTGGTATTTTCTGGAGCCACCAACCAAAGACTTGATAAAGAAGCACATGGATGGGACTTGGATTATGATCAAAGCCCTTACCCTTTTATCTTTCTCCCAACTCAAATACCCCTCCTCTGTGAAGTCTTCTTGGACTTCAGGCAGAATGAGTCTTGTTTGTGTGTGTGTGTGCTCTTGGCACACTTGTTCTTGCCTGTACCATCACATGTAATACTCAGAACTTGGGATCCAAACTGTAGCACCCAGGTGGATAAGTTGATCTGTGAATAAATAGGGCAGAGAGGCCGGGGGTCACCTAGGATATCCTTCCAAAGACATTCCAATTCTATTTTTTAAAAAAGGGCTGTTGGCCAAACAAACACAGCTGTGGGCAGACTGGGTTTGATGGTCACCATGATTGGCCCCAGTCTGCACTGTGTTCTGTGTATCTTTATCATGAGGCTGAATTCTTAAAGGGCAAAGACTATCATATTTTTTTAATGCAAATAACGTGTGTATTGCATAGTTTTTGGAAACTACATGACCCTTTCGAACATTCATTTCCTGTG